GCTGGGTCAGGGCTTGCCTGCACACAGAACTTGCTCCTGGGATTAAGCTAAAGGCTGGAGGAACATCAAATAGTTGTCCTGGATGGCCAAAGGTTCATGTGTCCTGCTGCTGGGACTCGGACAGGGGCCAAAACAAACACCCATGAATGGTTTGTAACCTGCGTAATGGTTTGTAACCTGTACCCCTCCCCGCGTACCATCCCAGCTTGCAATGGCTTGTGTCTTCCAGGCTTGGGTGAGGCAGCTTTGCACTAGGACATTCCATGGGTCCCCCCGCTGTCAGCGTGCCCTGTGTCCCCTCAAGCCCCCAACAACCGTGGCACTCCCCCCGCCCCACGCTCACCTACCGACCGACCGCGTGAGGAGCCACATCCTTCTGCCTGGGAGGCTGTGAAAATGCCGAGCTGTGGTGACGCAGGCAGCGGTGGCATGCTGTCATGTGGCACCGACATCCCGGGGAGGAGGCAGATTGGCGCTCCTTGGCCCGCTCCCACCACATCCCAGAGGTTGTGGACAAGATCCCTGCTGCAGGTGGGCACCTGGGAGCAGCCCATCCCCTCCGGAGGCTGGGGATGCTGGTGAAGACCACCCTGGGTGCCAGGTGACTGTCCTGGAGCAGGGGGCTGCTTTCCTTTAGCAAAACCGTCCTCCTTCCTCTTTCTCATGTAGTGGTGGAGCCAGTGACCTCACCACAGGACAGATACCAAGAAGCGGGCTGGGGGTGACGAGAACCTGCAAGGGTTTGTTCCTGCCAGCTGATCTCCTCCAGAGACACTTACGCACGGGGCTGCCTTCCAGCTTCACCTGGCCCCGTGGCCTCCTCCCGACTCACCACGAGGCTGCTCCCATGTGTCTGCCTGGACCAGGGACCGTGGGTCTGCACCTGCTTGTGGGTTCAAGCCGTAAGGATGCCGAGCGCTCGGTGACACTTTGTGAGCTGCTGCGACCAGGGCTGCCTGCAGCCACGGCAGTGTCCTGCTGCGGGCAGCACAGAACAAGGCAGCCCTGTCCCCAGGGCTGGGGCGTCCAGGTGGAGGACATGCAGAGTCGTAGAAATGTTTGGGCATCTGCACTCCCCCCACAGCATCCTGGGACTGCCGAAGGCGGTACAGGATGTTGCAAGGCAGGGGAGATGCTGGGAGCTGTGTTCCCCATCTGCCTCCTGCCAGAGTCTCCTCTGGCTGAAGGTCTACATGCTGGGGGGCCGGTGGCAGGTCCCAGCCTGGTCAGAGCCCCACCAGAGAGGAAGAAAGTGTCATGAATAACACATCCGACCTCACTAACTAGGCTAGAAATAGCTGCCAGGGGAGTTTTGTTGAGTCACACAGAAGAGGCTGTGGCAGTGAGTGATAATGGGACGCAGCGGCGGCACAACCCTACGAATGGGAGGGACGCACGGGCTGATGTCCCAGAGGTGACACATGGGGACAAGCCACTGTCACCAGCCTCTTGCCCCATCCCAAAGCCACAGAGCAAACGCCACATTAGGTAGGAGTGCGTAAAAGCCTCCTGGCCACAGGGAGCCAGGCTGTGGTGAGTGGTTTTGGGAGATCAGCCACATCTGGGAACACACATTGCAGCAGTATCAGCAAAAAATAAAAGAAGTGATAGCTTCAGCAGCCATTCTGCTGCTGCCCGGGCACGGAAGTGGCCTTACCTGAGCTCTTTGGTCGTGTGAAACCCAGGGCAGGAGCTGCTGGGCAGAGGGAGGAAAAGAGCATTCACTGCTACGATGGTTTTGCACCTTGCAACAGCCTAAAGCACGTGATCTTGCATTATCTCATGACAGAGTTGGGGAGATTCAGGCTAACCCATGCTCTGCCTAAACACGGAGGATGAAGAGCACTGTCCCAGGCAGGGGCGGCTCGAGGAGCGGTGTCTGCCAGCCAGTGACCAGGAAATCCTTCAGCTCTTGAAGCAGACAAAGCTCTGGGTCTTGTCTCCATGGAGGGAAAGGGAAAAAGAAAAAATAAAAACCCCAGCATGCTCTAATTAAAGTTCATTGCCGACAAGGTAATTTCCGCATGAGTTAGCAGAACAGCCAGTTGGAAATTTTTGATAAAAATCTAATTTTCTTTGAAAATGCAGATCCAGTGAAATGTGAAGGCTTTCCACTGGAAAGAATGAGTTTCGCTGGATTTCTCAACTAGTTCTCCAGAAAATTTGCAAACGGTCACAACATTTTAATCACCACTGCTTTTTTTTTCAGACCTAAATTTATATTCTTACTGCCTTACAGCTTGACATGAAAATGCAACTTTTTTGGCATCATCACTTTGTTCGTTTGAACTTCAATATTCTACATAGCTTTTACCCTCATTTGGGATCAAGAAAAATTCGAGATGCCAAGACATCCCTGGGATAGGGAAACCATTTCCCCTAAACTGCGGGAAGCTCAGGTTGAGGAGCAGTGCAGAACACAGGACATACCCCTCCCATTAACACCAGCCCGCTCTGCAGCCGGGTTTCTCTTGACCTCGTGGGTAACTCCTGCTGACACAAGCGCAGAGCGGGGTCCAGGCAGCTCGGTCGTACCTCATCATCCCCTGTACCAGCATGAGCTCCGGGAGCTTGCCCTGTGCCCTGCTCCTCGCCAGGCTGAAAGCACGGGCTGGGGGAAGGGGGCATTGCCCTCGGCACTGACGTGCATTTAGTTCTTCTTGTAGGACTCAGGAGACCACAACCTGGAATCCTGTTTTTCTTTGAATTGGGAAAGCACATGGATATTGATAAAGATAATAACCCAACACACCATCTCCTTGGGTCAGTTTCTGTACTTTCTCAATCCTTCTTTGGCCTTGGGGGTCTCCAACCTTTCTTCTTGTCCTTTTTAAAGCCCAACCCTCCTCCCCTGGGCTCTGGCAGCCTCCCTGTCCCTTAGCAAGGCCAGCACCTCCCTTCCACCCCTCTCACCCTAAGCCCTATGTGTCTTTGCCTTCCTTGCAGGGTAAAACCAGTACCAGGATCTCCTGCACATGCTTTAACAGATGCTCCAATCCCTGAAGACGACTTTGGGCATCAGCTCTGCGTGGCTGAAGGCTCCAGCCCTCCGCAAGCCTTAAGGGGAGGAGGATGCTAGTGGGAGCCCGTGAAGAAGCAGCACAAAAGGGCAGGACATCTCACGGCCACACACGTGGAAAGTACAGCCTAGGAGGGGGTTTAAATGAGGAACAGAGGCCACACAAAATGTACCAGAAACACCCACCAAGGGCAACAGCAGCATTTTGGGCTCCAGCCAGGCAGCCCTGAAGGGTGTCCCTGAAACATCTGGGCTGGGAAGGAGGCTGGCACGGTTTTAGGGACAGGCTGAGCTCACCCACCTGCAATCACGGCGCTTTGTGGGCACACAGGAAAGCATGTCCCTGCTCCGGGGAGCTCGAGTGTCACCTGAGGATGGGGGACCTTGCCAAGGAGAAGCGCAGAAGATACCAAGGGGCACACAGTGGCTCCCGGCACCCTCGGCGGGAGGGTGGCTGGCACGCACCAGGACTTTGGTGAATGACAGGGATGCAGGAGCAAACAGGGGAAGGGGGTGGGTGGAAGCAGGAGACCCAGCAAAAAGCCACCCTGGAGCAGCAGGCTGGTTTTTCACCAGCAACACAGGCTGCCTGCCCATCCCAAAGGGCTCCGCGGTGGCACACAGTGCCAGGCTCCTCCACGATGCCTCGGGCACCGGCATGGCCGGGCGCTCATCATGACGAGGCGCAGAGTGCCAGATCTAAGGGAAACTGAGGCGGGGATGGAAACGTGGGGCTATCAAAGGCACTGGGGTCTCTGGGGAGCTGGATGCTCATCAAAAGCCAAGAAGCTGCAGCCCCAGCAGCAATGGGGAAGCATACGTTTTACAGCAAAAATGCCCTTTGCTTCACAAGTAAAACCACGATAAGCTTGAAAGGGAAAAGAAAAAAAAAAGTTAAGTAATTGGGATTTTAAGTGACTTCCGAACCCTTTTACTCTCACAGCCTCTAACCGAACTGGTGTGTGGACAAGGAGGTGGCTGGGGACTTTCAAGGTAGAACCAAAGAAATGCAAAACATAAAAGGTTTTGTTGTGGCCTTATTTTTGTCCTTTGCCAGAGCTGGCCCCAGCCCCTCAGGTGCTCATCGGCATGCTGAGGACTAGCACTTACCCCCTGGGATGGGGACCGAGCTGCCCCTGCCTCCACCAACCCAGGAGTCCAGGTGCCGGAGGGAGAGTGTGCTGCACCCCCCCAAAGAGCCGGTGAGCCAGCATCAGCCAGCAACAGCACACAACTGGGTTCCTCTCCTCCTCACTATCGCAAGGACAGGGCAGATTTCCTCCCAGCACCCACAGCAGTGCCTGGGGTCATTTTAGGCCCTGCCAACTCCATAGCATCATTCAGATGACAGCTTGGCAGGGAAAGGCAGAAGAGAAGCACATAGGATCCTACAGAAACCCCAATCCTCCCTGTCCCATCCCAGCACTGTGACCCACCACCACAGGAGCCTTCAGCACAGCTTCCAACGGGCACCGTTCCCTGCTGCTGTTCATTCCTCGCTGGACTAGGCAGTGCTCCCAGGAGCAGGGGCAGGTATTTATCTGAGCTACTAAACCTACTTAAAAGGCAATTAGTGACTGCTGGGAGAGCTGTGAAACCCTCAGGTGGCACCCATGGAGACAATTCCCTTTCCATAACCACAGCGTGATGGTTCAGGGAGGGCAGATCAATACGAGCAGCCCAGGCCTTGGTTTCTTGTCCTGGGTGATGAGAACATACGATGGCAGGGAACAAAACCCACCCAAGATTGCTTAGAGTGTGCTTAACTTCTTGCAGGGAACAGAGCAGCTTATCAAGAAGGAGAGGCAGCCTACAGATCGCCTCTGCCCAGCACCATCCACGGCCCCTTTATTGGGTTTGCAAAACATGCAGTATACCGGTGAGGGGAGGAGACCTAAAATACAGTAATGTTATTAATATTATTAATAATAATAAATAGAGTTCTGACTGATCGCTGCAGTTCCTGCTCCCCAGGGTTGGGCTACACTTTGGTGATGCTGTCTGCTGGCTTCACCTCGGCTGGCTCCTCTCTTCTGGGATGGCGGGGCAAGACCCCCACCCTGTTGCTCTGGAGTCCTGCACACCCCCTCGACTTCTGCCCTTTCTTCAGAAGGCAGCAAGCCCCCGAGCTGAGAAAGCAAAGGCTCGTCACAACCACGAGCAGAGCCAGCGAGCTGGTGCCCTTGGGACGCGGACAAAGCCACCAAGGATTGCTGGTTATCTTGGCTGAGAAGTTCCTGCTCTCATCTCGGTAGGAGCAGAGGGCTTCATCCAGGTCCTGCACGCCCACACCGGCCGCCTGCAGCGTGTCCAGCCAGGCCAGCGAGCAACAGCTGAAGGGGTTCCCCGCGATGGACACGTCCTTCAGGCTGCGGGACCAGCTCACGAACGCTGTCTTTTCCAATGTCGGCAGGTTGTTATTGCGAACGTCCAGGCTTTCCAGAGGGGAGCAGAAAAGACCTGTGGGCAAAAGGCTCAGGTTATTGCCTGAGAGGTCCAAGACTTTGAGCGTGTCCAGGCAGGGGAGCTCTGCTTTGCTGTTGTCCATCTGGTTGCCCCTTAGAGAGAGTTTTTGCAGGGAGAATTCCAACCCCGCCAGGGCTTCCTTGGACACGAACAAGTCCTTGTTCCCTGACAGGTCTAGGGAGAGCAGCGAGGTCTGGTTGAAGGCGTAGGGGTGCAACCTGGTAATGTTGTTCTTGCGAAGACTCAGATGCTTCAAGTGCGGCACGTTGTAGAAGGGGGTGCAGGTGTCTCCAGGGACTGGCATGTGAGAGCCCCCTCCCGAATTCCCTCCCCAATCGCTCCCCTGGCTCTTGCAAGGCTGAAGGCTGTTGGAGCTCAGATCAATCGTTTCCAGCTGAGGCAGAGATTCGAAAAACCAGCGTGGCAGCACACGGAAGGCATTGCTGTGGAGGTCCAGCGAGCGCACGGAGAGGGCAGCACGCTCCGGTGGTGCGTGCGAGCGGTCACTGGGCTCCGTACCATTGGCGAGTGAGTCCCCGGCTACGTCCTGGAGACAGTTCCTAGCCAGGCTGAGGCTGTGAAGAGAGCCCAGGCTGTGGAAAAAGGTAAATGGGAACAGCTGCAGCTGGTTATTGCTGAGATCCAAGTCAGCTACATGCGTCAGACCAGCCATGGTATGCAAGGTCCTGTTAAACCTCGCCATCTCCTTGTAGTGCAGTACAAACTCCCCCGGATGGTGTGAGCCTGGGAGCAGAGAAGCAATAAGGTTGTTGGAGAGGTTTAAGTGTGTGAGATAATGGGCTTTGGGGAGCTCTGGAAAATAGAGGAGTCTGTTATGGCTCAAGTCGAGCACTTGAAGCAGGTAGGGCTCCGCTCCCTCCTCCGAGATGAAGAGCTCCAGGGCGTTGTGGCTGAGATTTAAAACTCGCAGCTGCGTGAGGCTGAAGCCAGAGATACAGTGGAGGGAATTCAAGGCCAAGTTCACCACCTCCAGCTCTTCCAGAGCCTCAAAAGCTCCCTCCTCGATTTCCATGATGTAGTTGTTGCTGAGGTCGAGCTTGCGCAGCCGTGGCACGCTCCGGAAGATGCCTGCCGGCAGCCTGGTCATCTTATTCCCAGAGAGATCAAGCGTCCTCAGCCTGGTGAGGTTGCTGATGTACCAGCCTGCCATGTGGCTCTCCAGGTTATTTGCCGACAGGTCCAGGACCTCTATATTCCTAAGCACGTGAAAGGCTTGCCCGTTAGCGTGGTAATTACGATCCAGGCGGTTCGATCTCAGGAGGAGGGAGCGCAGCTGGGGTAGCTGAGCCAGGGTCGTGGCTGACACAGCTTCCAGCTGGTTGAAGCACATATCCAGGTACTCAAGTTGCCCAAACCCTGGCATGTGGCTGCCTGACAGGTTTCGGATAAAGTTGTTGGAGAGCTCGAGGTACTTAACTCCTTGGCCCAGTTCCTCTGGAAACTTGTGCAGGCCAACCCCTTTGCAAGACACCTTTGTGGGGCTCTAGAGAGAGAGAGGAGAAGCCATCAGCATGAGGGGGGCTACAAACCACAGCTGCTGTCCAAGCTGGGCATGAGCAACACGGAAATGAGCACCCATCCCAAGCCTGGGATGGGAAGAGGTCAGACCACCTACCACCCCTGCTCAGGGACAAGGAGCTTGTCCACAGGATTAAGGTGGGCTTTCCAAAACTCTGGATGATCCAGCTGGATTGTTTCTGATGGAGCAAGGAGAAGACTGTGTCTTTGGCCCCGCAGGCTGTCCTGTGTGGCCCAGCAAGCAAAATGGGGAAAAAAAGTAGCACTGAAGATGCAGCAGTCTGGTGGAACAAACCCAGCCTCCGGAGGGACTGGTCCAGAGCATCCTGCCTTGGAGGATATTGAGCTGACGCCCCTGTGACAGGGGCTGCTGGAAGGTGTCACCAGCATGGCAGGGACATGGGAGCAGGTGGATGCTGGGGAGCAGCTATCAGCACACCAGCTTGGGACAGAGAAGCAGAGAAGAGATCAAAGCTGGGGAGGTTAAAGAGATGGAGGCTGGAGGCGAGAGCCATGGGGAAGAGATGCACCCTGCATTGCGCAGAGGGATGCTCACGGCCCTCCTCGGACCCAGTGAAGCTACCGGGGCCATCCCAGCCCAGGGGCTCTGCGGGAAGAAGCCTTACCTGCTCACACGGTGTGCCTGTGGGCCTCGGCTCCTCACTAGCCTGGGCTCTGAGAATGGATGGGAGCAGCCAGAGCAGCAAGCAGCCTCTTTCAGCCAGCCGGTGTTCAAACAAGAGCATGTTGGGCTGTGGGCAGTGCCAGCGCTGTCCCGTTCCTCCAGCGCTCTCTGGCAAGCTGGGCAGGAGCTGGGTTCTGTATAAATAGGCTTCAGGATGGGATGGGGGAAGGAGATAACGCATGTGGGTGTTTGTAGCTACGGAAGTGGGAAAAGAAAGACCTAAGATTACAGAGGGGGAAAAACAGTGCAGAAAGCCACAA